AATATACGGGAAGATCTATTGGAGGGCCTTTCGGGAATGCGTTAGCATGACCCTTGAAAACGCCGCACACGTCCCTTTTGGGAAACGCTAACGCTGACCCTTCACTTTTTTCTTGTGACTTTCCCTTTTGCTTGCTCTTTTTTTTTTTTTTTGCTGCCTCTTTTTTGTTTTGTTACGCGGTCAGTGTTAGCGTTTCCCAAAGGGGGACCCGTGTGTTTCTCAAGGGTCATACTAACGGATTCCACCAAAATCCACCAGTGGATCTTCCTGTAATTTTTTTCGCCCCCTTTTTTGTACTGTGTCTGTCAGAGTACGTCGACGCCCCTGGATACGGTCATCCATATCACTCGTCGAAAGCACCACATTTATACCACTCGTGGACGGAACCGCGTACATATCACTCGTCGAGTGAACCGTATCCAACGTTTTCACTACACACACGCATCATAGCCCACGCACCGCCAGTACGGAAACCCAGAGCGAAGAACAACCGGCGACGGCAGAGTGGCAACATAGCACGCCCGCATTCCACCGCGCCGCGGCGCGCGCCTCCTAGATAACAAAGCCGTAGTGCTGAATGAGATGGCGTCATCGGAGAAGGCCAACGCTAGGCACAGATCAACGTTCCGCTCAAACTTGACTTGAAGCCGAGCGCTGACGCAGCACTCGTTTTTCAATCTGTGTCCAGGGTTGTCCTTCTCTGATTGGGCCATCTCATTCAGCACTACGGCTTTGTTCTCTAGGCGGTGTTGCGCGGCGCCTCCTCCTCTCTGGCTCCGCGCCAGCTGTGCGCGTGACTTTGCCGAAAACGAAAGAGCTTGTTTTGACGAAAACTCGGCGGTGTCGGTCAGTTTGTCAGCGCAGGGGAGAGAGGGAAAAGTCGAAGCGTGCTCGCGTCAGCGCTTCCGACCAATGGGAGCGTCGGACGCGACAACTGACAAACGAAAGACATCGTCAGGTTTTCGTCAAAGCAAGCGTTAAAACAAAAGTGGCGCTGCACGTGTCAGTGACACGTCAATTGTCCTTTATGGAAGTGAATTTCAATTTTTGCATGATCGGATACCGACTATATAGCTATATCTGTTGCCGCTTTGCGTATGTGTATATGCTTTGCTTTTTTCCTGAGTAAAAACAGTTGGAAGTTAGCGTTTGTCATGTTTACTTTGTGTCCCCGTCTTTTTTGCTGTTTCTCTCTTGCTCCTCCTCTTTCTATATATATACATATATTATCGTAAGTATATTTGCACATTTCACGACGACTCTTTTAAACCAGTCTTGATTTTGGTTAATTCAATGATTAATCACGCGTTTTTTTTTTTTTGTTAATATTATTTGCGAAACCAGTGGTATATATTTTTCTTTTTTTTAATTTTCAAAACTCGAAGAGGGTTTTCCATCCACGTTTCGCACTACATTTTTTTTGGTCGAAGTCTTCGTTCCGTTCACTACTATTTGCAGTTCTCATGAAAATAGAAAGTATAGCTTTAACTTAAGTGTATCTGCACGTAGGCACATCCTTCAATGAGTATCTAGGTACGTACCTGAGGCGCGTCTTACCTGAGTAACTGTATCTTAGATACTCTGCTCAATTAACTTTTACAACCCTGGCAGTGAGCATGGCGTTTCACCGTGCTCCAATGCATAAAAACAACTTTTTTTTTTTAAGTTTGAACGATAGTAAGTATATTTTAAGCGTCGTCACCTGCCGAGTTTCATCCTTAAATGGCAGCGATTGGTTCTCCCAAGTGATTTGAGGAAGAGTCACTTCATATTTCTCAGGGTCAATTCAAGAAAGGCAAGATGTGGCTAGATACTCTATATATGTGGCGAGCCTCGCACATAGTTCCCCAGCCAATGCGAGTACGGAATCAGCCGATTAGGACAGCGAAAGAACGAATCACAAAGCAAGAGGAGTGAGCATTAATTATGACAGTGTGTCGGGTGCGGGAAGCAGCGATCAATCGACGCGCGCATCAGCCACCAAAGATGGCACTCACCATGGTTAGTGCGTTGCCGGCGAGACGACGGAATCCCCGCTTCCAGCTGCGGGAGCGAGACAACACAAGGTACTACACCGGGAGCAACAGGCGGTAACGAGACAGTAATAGCTGCGCATTGAGAGAGCGGACGCGGCGAACGGCTGCTCCTTGCTCGACGGCAACTTGCGCTGTTGCTGCGCGCGCGCGAGGGTCCGCCGTCGGTGGAACGGCGTCGTCGTCGGCGTGTAGTCAACTGCGGGGACTTTGTTAGCCGCTTCCCGCTCAGCGTAGCGTGTCTCGTGCCGCCTGGGTGACCGTGCGACGCCAGCCGCTTCGTAACGCAATTAGGGCCGCCGATATTGTCCTTTCCTTTGGCTTCGCTCCCGTTGCACCACGCGCCCAACGGCCGAAGCCTTGCAAGTGGCGCGGCGATCTTTTTCCCAGACGGACGACGAGGTCGCGGCGGGTGAGGGAGGGAGGGAGGCTGGCTGCACCTGTTGGTGATGTAGCTGATGCGGCCGTCCACCTGTTTGCGTGCGTGAGCTCGTTGCCTGTTCGGTGTGGTGACTGCGTATGCGTGCTCGATTTATATTTCATTGTTTGACTCTTGAGGAGTTTGGTCACCACAGTAGGCCAGTGGCCCGTACCCGTACGTCTGTGGCACCATGCAAGACATTATACACACACTTACACACGCAGATACACATAAATAAATAAAAACAATGGAACTGAAATGGGAAGGGGGAGGCAAAGTGACAGTCTGGTAAGCGCGGAGGGAACGCACAGAGTCCCTACAGAACTGCAATAATGTGCTCAGATGGGTCAGTTTGTACATTGCAAAGAGTATAAAGCGCAGAAAAAAAAAAAAAAAAAAAAAAACACGGACCGAGACACGAGACGACACAGGGCGCACTCTCAACTGAAGTTTATTTGTAAAAAGCACACGCTATCATTCCCAACGGGAACGCGCAATCATCAATAAATCCCTGCCCAGCTCACGTTTTAAATACTTATACTCGTCCGTAGACACGGCCAAAGACGTTTCGCTGACGCACTTGTTTCCCTAAGCCCTGATCTCAAAACCCTCGTGTAGTTCGCGTGACACCTCGTCTTTGTATTTTGCCAAAATTTGCCCCCAGGACTCCTTTACACTGATCTCGCCTTCCAGGCTGACTGTCGGCGCGTTTGTCAGTAAGCGCCATATCTGAATAGTGGGAGGCACTCACTTGATCGAATGACGTTTTAGCAAACGCCCACGTTTCACCGAATGGCACTTTAGCGAATAGTCGGACGCCGCAAAGCGGCGTTTTCGAGTAGCCCAAGCGGGTTCACATTTTTGTAATGAGCCGTTGCAGACTGTCGCCGCGAAGCGGCGTAAGCGCAGCGCGGTGCCCCGTTATTCGGTCAAATGTCGCTGTTCGCTAAAACGTCATTCGCTCATGTGATATGGATCCCAGAATAGTATGGATGAACGGTACGGTGACGCTCTGTGCGCGCAAACAGGGGTTAAAGAGCGCCATCACGGCTGTGTCGAAGTTCATCACACAGGGGAGGGAGACGCTGGTCAGGGCCACTTTCCGTCGGAGCGCCAAAGTGTCTCAACCTGCAGCTTTGAGCAACTGGGGAGTCCTGGTAACAGGGAGGGCGCTGGGGAATCTGCTCGGGACAGCGTATGCAGTGTGACGTTGTATAGATCTCTAGTGATGCAATGAGGCTAACTTGTGAGGGGTTCCATATTGTAGAACAGTACTCGAGCTGAGGAAGAACGAGCGCAGTAAAAAGGTTCTTGAGGGTACCGGCTCCGGCACCCCTAGAGGTTCGAGGGATAAAGCCTGGCATCCCCTGGCTCTTGATAACGCCTCGTTGATGTGTGTAGTGAATTCGAGTCGATGGTCGAGCGTAACGTTTGATGACTGCGGTGCAGGTCGTCGCCAGCAATGGTTAGTGCCGGTTGCTCATCAGGTTGTTGCCTGTGGGAGACCAGCATGGCAGAGCCTTTGGAAGAGTTGAGCGTAGGGGCTTCCCCAGGAATTAAAATTAAGGGGGGGGGGGGGGGGGGGGAGGGTCTAAACTTTTAGGGCGGGGGGGGGGGGGGGGGGGGTTAGAGGGGGCAGTGTGAATAGAGGAGTCGTTGCGAATTAAGGGGGTGCCTTCACAAAAAACAAAGGGGGAGGGGGGGAATCACTGGTTGAGCAGCAGAAGGTTTATCACTGACAAAAGCTAATTGTTGTGTGTATGTTTATACAGCAGGAAGTTAGTCTTCCTCAGTGGGCGTCTGGTGTCTCATCTGTAGATGAGCAATTTAGCCAGTGCGGTACAACCGCTAACCTGGGGTCTTAAACTTGCACCACGCAGTATACGAGGGACGTTCATGAAGTTCGTATTATTGTCACGAAGGAATAGAGATTCAGCACTCGAACTCGAGTAGAAGCTGAGACTTTGTCTACATGTTCGCCACCAAAAGTCACCCACTTTTTCCAGCGATGCACCATATGCCGGAGGCCATTGTTATAGAACTCCAAGTTTTGAGTGTTCAGGAATCGCTCCACTTCAGCAATCACTTGGTCGCCGCGTCCTTGAAATGCTTTCCTCTTATTTGGCCACACTAAAAGCGTCTGCGCCATTTAACCAAAGTGTCATAAACCGGAGCGTTGTCCCCGAACAACGCTCCCAGATTGGAATGAATATCCTTAGCATTGCTTCCCTTCAAATGAAAAAAAAAAAATAAAAAAATAAAAGATCACTGCATGTGTTTGGCACCGACGGGCGGTGCCATTCTGTTTCGACTACCTAGCGGCGTTCCGAGCTACTATAGCATGCGATGTTTCTATTGTGCGGAAACTAGAGGGACGCGCGCTCATGTTGATGCCCGTTTTGTTCCGTTTTCTTTTTCATTTTTTGTGCCGATAATACGAACTTTATGAACGCCCCGATACACGAACGCACGCCGGTACGATGCTCATCCAGATTGAAACGGGCAGCGGTGGGAATTGATATGAGATACCATTGGTGTATACGGACCAGGTCCTGTTGCAGCTCCCGATAGTGCCTAAGGCCTAGGGCAGGTTGTAGCAGTGTGACATCATCGGCGTAGAGAAATGGGGTAGATTTTAAGGAGAACACCAAGTCGTTCACGAAAACATTGAACAAAGTCGGGCCCAGTACGCTGCCCATGGGCACCCCAGATTGAACGTTTCTATGCCGGACGGATTGATTATTTTTATGTTTTAGCTGTTTCATTTTGTAATTTTTGCTCCTTTGTTCGTATTCGTTCCCGTTCCCCTCGCTTCACTCGAGTAGGCTGTTAGAGCCCCGAGCTCGGGCCACCTAGACAGAAAGCAACACCAACTAGTGCAGTCAAGGCCTGCAAACATTCTCTTCCATGAAACGTCACCATACTCGGACGATGCCAACTCAGCAATATGACTCGAGCCTGTTGTCGAGCGTCCTTCGACGCGTTCATTGGACAGTAGGCCCAAGCACCCGCGTTTGATATGTCTTGGTTCAATCTCACTGTGATGATTATAATAAACAAGCTTTGACTCCGTTGTAGAAAGCCGCAGCGCTGAATTTCTTACGTCGCCTACAGAGAGCCAACACTGCAGGACAAAGATTGGACACTAACGCATGCAGCGTCAGCGTTCGGCTGGAATTCGCGTTCGGTCCGTGAGAACACGAGCACTCGCCCAAGGCTGACACATTAACGCTCGTGACCGACGCGTGACAGGCGCGCCGGCCCTCATTAGGTGAATGGAGAAAACTCCGGACTTTCAATGTGTTGGCCCAGGCCTCAGAGATAAGACTTATGTTTCCAAAAACCTTTCTCTCTCTCCCTTTTTCTCTTTTTCTCCGTTGTTGGATCGGAATTCCTCGAACGCGTTCCTTTTAGGCCTCTGGCGTTGGCAGAACTGGAACAAACACGTGCTACACTCAATGATCGCCCACCTCGTGTTTTTTGCTCTTTTATTTTTCAACCATGAGTGTGCGTTCATTCTGGATTTTACAATATGGTTCACGCGTCCCCTCCCCCCCCCCCCCTCTTTACCCCCCCCCCCCCCCTTCCCCTTTTCCCTTTTCCGTAACCTCCACAGAACCCGGAGTAGTTTGCGCAGTAGTACGCAGAACGCGCATTCGCCCGGAATATCACTGGCGCATATCACTCGCAAATCACTGGCGCGGGAATACTGGCGTATTCCCGCGCCAGTGATATTCTGTAATAACCGTGGTAATGGTCTATGACTCTATATATATGTCTTAAATACAGACTGTGTACGCACGGCTCGTAATGAACTCCCAGTGGCTCCAGGATTAACGGTTTGAGTTGAGCTAGTTTGTACATGGTCATTCATGGTGGGGAAACAGCTTGGACACTATCGATTATACAGAGACAGGACAAGACACACGTGGCTTTGTGTGTCTGTGTCTTGTCCTAGCTGTCTCTGTGTAATCGTTTAGTGTTCAAGCTCCATAATATGTATTACCCTGCACTTGATGTGGGGCTTCCTTTTAATAATAAGGTCCTCTGCTCGCGCTTCTTCCGGTGGCTCATGTTAACAAAATGGTGCATAATAACAGGAAGACAAGGGAGTACACATGACGAGCGCTAAACTGCAGCTGAAAATGTGTTAAAAAAGCGAAGCCCCCCAGCAACAACCGCCCCCATCTCTTTAGGCGGTGGTTGTGGCTGGGCTTCCTTATTGGTCATGTCTTTACGTGAACAACTAAAAAAGGAAAAAAAAACATTTTTGTTGTACAACACAAAGTCGACATATCTTAGTATAAAATAGTTATTGATTTGAATAAATTACCGGGGCTGCATACAGTGCCATATATGACGCGAAAACAGACTTTTGAAGAACATTTCCAAAGGCTGTCTAGAACAAAATATTTTAAGCACTGGTTTATAGCCGCACCAACACCCTGCACGAAACGTATTTATTTTTGTTGTCAGAGTAAAAGGTCACGATCTGAAGTGTTAAGCGAGGGCACCAGAATAATAAAAACATGTTTTCAACAAAATGTCTGTTTCATGTCACGAGTAAAAAATATCAAGATGTTCTGGAAATTTTTTTCTAGTGCCAAAAGTCTCTCGGTCTTCGTGCTCGAAACTTGTTCACTCTGGAACAAGACAGAGAAGCACTGGCATGTCTGGATGGTGATGTCTCAGTCTTATGGCATTTTTATATCTATATATATATATATGAAGGCGTAAGTATATAACTGAGAAAAAAAAAAAAAAAAAAAACCTTAGTGAAAACAGCGACAACGGACGATCTAATCTTCGACGTTTCGGCCGGAGATTTAAACGACGACACCCCTGCCTCCTGCTGTGGTCACGACCGAGGGGAGCAAGACATATGCCAGAACTGTCAGACCAAAGGTCAGCTTCCAGATGCCGAAACCCTGGGCGCTCTCAACGCACGAAGTTCCGTTGCACACACTGTAACGTGTTTTCGTGCATCACATCTCAACGCAATAGTTTTAAGTCTTTCTACAGCTAGGAAACGTATGTATATCGCAATAAAGGTAATATTCTCGATATCTTAAATTCTACCAGATTCCGTGTGAAATAAATCCCATTGTGCAATATATTGCACATGGCACAGCCGGAAAACTAAGAAATGTACACTCTTAGAACTTTTTTTTTTTTTTTTGTGATCAACACAGCCAACTGATCCTAAGAAGTAAGCCAGCTTCATTTAATTCACACAGTTATTTGCTCGGTATATATATATATATATATATATATATATATATATATATATATATATATATATATTATTATTTTTTTTTTTTAAGAAGAAGAAGTAGAAGAAAGGAGGGGCACTAGGTTACGTCAGTTCTGTGAGCTAATTGATTTTTTTATAAACAAAAATAAATCAGGTTTATCTTGAATCAAGGCAATTTGATTTAAATCATTGTGGCTAGAAACTAATGATTCTTTACCACTCATGTATTTTTGAACATGGCAGATTGGTTTGATAGATTCGTCCGATCACTGATAACAATAAAGACGAATTACTGTATAACAGTGCAGAAGAAAAAACGATTCTGTTCACGTAAAGTACACTTTACTTAAAACATTTTCAATGCTATAATCCCCGCCATACTAGAACAAAAACAGCCTGATTTTTAGTTAGTTAAAACTTTGATTCTTCTTTCTGATTTCTTTCTCGTTTTTTTTTTTTTTGCGTTTTGATTAGCTGACGAACGCAATGGAAAGTAGAAATCAAGCCCAACGATTCGATTTGCTGAGAACCGCGCTTCTTTGTGCTCATGTTGGCGACGAGATGTTTTGGTGGCGCCACTTCGCGACCGCCCTCCTGTGACGCAGCTTGTAGGATGCGAGCAGACGACGCGCTATGTCAATGCGCGGAGTGGCTGTGCTAGGGATGTTGCGAACTTTTTTCGAACTGAAGTTTCGATGATCGATTCAAGCGTTTCGTAAGCTTCGAAAGATTTCAAATTTTTGAACTTTCCATATCGAGAAATTCGACGGAAGTCGAATTTTCGACCTTATTAAACTAAGAAGTTCGACGCTTTTTAAAATTTCGAACTTTTTATGCTGCAAAATTCGATGCTTGTCGAACTTCCGAACTTGATAGACAAAAAAATTCGATGATTTTCGACCTTTGGAACATTTTGCACTAAAAAGTTAGAATCTTTTCAAAATTTCGAACTTCCTACGGTAAGAAATTCGATAATTTCGAACTTTCGACCTTATTAATCACTAAAGAATTCGAAAATTGTCGAACTTTCGATTCCTGAAAAGTCAAATGTTCGACGAACTTCGAATTTTAGGGTAAAAGTTCGAAGTTCGTCGAACTTCAAAAGGCCGGCGGGCGGTTTCATTTGGATTCAAGCAGTGAGGTACATTCGTACTTTTTTTCTCCGCAATTTTACATGCGGTGCCGCATTCCTTCCGAAAGACAATGCCGTTTATTTCAATCGTTTAGGATGCTTGGTTTTAAAGAAATAGGTTCTCGAAGGAGCGAGGAAGGACGGCGGGTTTTTGACAATTGTCGTTTGTGCCATATTTCAAGCACGCTATAGTCGAAGCTATTTATGGTAGAGATGTTAAACTTTTTAAGAATGATCTATGTATAGCCTAGGTAAGTGTCGTCTTAAGATATGATTATTGTTGTTCAAGACGAGTTTCGAAACAATATTCAGACATGTACCTACGGGCAATTATGCCCTAAACTTGGTAATTTTTTTCGCCTACATTGTTTAAGGTATCGCATTTAAATTAACACCAGAGACAGTACATATCATTACCATCTGCAGAATGCAAAATAATGTATTTATTGTTTTTTTTCACGTTGAGGAATAAATTAACTCATGTGGGTATATTTCTGAAGTTGTTCAAGTTCAACACGTCATAAAAAAATATTCTTTTTCTCATTTTACGTTTTTGTGACGTGTTTCTTTTGGCCTGTACACATTTTGGTAGGAGAAACTTGTTTCATAGTTCTGAACCTCTGAATATGCAAGAATTCAACACTTCCGGTGGGTTCTTGATAGTTTTTTTTTTCTCCAGCTTTTACTTTTTGCATTTATTGTCATGCTTATTTATTGATTAATTTTTACCAATGGCACAGTTATTTAGGTCGAAAAGACATAGCTTTGAACTTCCGAGCCACCGAGCATGTGACGAATAGTGCCTTCTGACAACGAGTTTCTAACAATGACCATCTACGCGATCTTTTATGCAGTGAAGAGCGACAGTAGCTATACATATATGCATAAATAATTTCAGATTAAAATAAGCTCGACTGTGCCCTCTTTCCCCGTATTTCTTTCTTTAACAGTCCGAAATATATGTGAGGGGGAGGGGGGAAGGAGAGTGGAGCCCCCCCCCCCCTCCTCCCCCCCCCCGTTTTTCATCTTCTAACGCCACTGGTATGGTAGAACGCTCTTCGACCTCAAGTTGTGTCAGCTTGGAGATCGGGAATGAAATTCGCAAGAAATAGTGTAAGAAGAAAGAAAAAAGGGGACATGATGACAACGTCTTAAACTCAGCTGGAGTTTGAGACGTTGTCCTGAGCTGAGTTTTTAGCTGAGTTGAGTTTGAGACGTTGTCCTGTCCCCTATTTTCTGTCTTCTTACACTTTTTCTTTCAAATTTCATTCCCAGAACTGAGTTTGAGGCGTTGTCCTGTCCCCTTTTTTCTG